GCTCCTGAGAGAATTGCGGCCGGATCTTGGATATCTCAGGATTTTTCGAATTTCAGTAAAACACAGCAGAGGTTGAAAAGCCTTGATAACTCAGAAGCCGTGATTGTCCGGGCGCTCGCTTTTAATTCCATATCTCGAGCTAACTATTTTTAATGTTCGTTTAGAAATATCTTTTCATCTCGATTGTTAGTTGAGCTCGAGTTGCTAGTCTCGTTTCAAATTGCATTAGGTTCTTCTCCGTAAAAGGTCAGTGTCCGGGCGCTCGCCTGCATACGCATTCGAAACCTGCATATTTTTGAAATAATAACAAAAAAATATTTCGAAGATACGTACCAACTCGCAGTAGGGCCGAGTGGTGGACTATGCTCTGATACCCTTTGCACAGAGGAGGCCTTCACCCAGCTGTGAGACATTTATAGGCTGTTACTTTACAGTAGATGATTTGAAACAATAACATAATATTCTTTGGTTATTAGTACAAATTACGGACTATTCGGACAACAGTTACAATTTCGGACTAAAGCCACAGTTAGACATTTTTTACTTTAGACCATTAAGCTCCTATGATCGAAAACCTTTCTGTAGGTTGGCATTCTGGGCAGTTATAAAAAATAGTACCTGGAGATTTTTTTTTTGGTAATTCGTGTGTATTTTGGAAATTAGATTAGATACAAATTACTGAGTAATGAAATATGCATAATATTTTTCGATCTTACCGACGTAATAATAAAAAAATATGAACTGGTGTTTTTCACAAACGAAAGAACTTTAAAAAAAGGGAAAGAAGAACAAAATCATCTGGATCGACAAAAAATAAAAAAATAAAGAAAGCAATGATCTGAAAAAGAAAAAAAAGTAAAAAAAAGAGTGTACAGATCGTAACACGAACCACGGCCTTCTGTTTCGGGTTCAATGTTCAATTATTAAGTATAAAATATATCGGTGCTTGGTAATTGTAAGTCATTAGACGATCGCGCCACCGTTCTGATGTCAGCACTCACCCCACCGCTCCACTCTGTTATAAAACTCTTTGCTCGGCAGTCGACCGGCCAGGCATTATTCGTGTGACTTACTTGAAGTGTACAGTTGTCGTGGTATCAACGCAACTTCGACCAGCATAGCGACTCCCGATGGTTTGCATTTGAAAGACCTTACTTAACGGTTCTTCCCACAGTTACACAGATTACGGAGTGAAAGCTCAAATTTCAGTTACAACACAAGATGTCCGATTTCTTTTTTCATAAATTAATTAATTAAGTACCGTGTTATTCTAATTATTTGATTACAATAAAAGACTGAGTAATATTGGTGATTTTACGTTTTCTGTTCCACCTCATGTAACATATCTATTTTAGTAGTTTAAAAGTACCTACGGAACCCTTCGTGTGCGAGTCCGCTTTTATATAAACTTCTAGTCTTTTATATAAACTTACAATAATCGTCATTTTACAGACCATAATGAATAGGTTCATAAAAAAAAGTCTTCCGCCCCGTCTGTCTGTCTGTTCGCGACAAACTCAAAAACTCCTGCTCCGAATTTCGTGCTGCTTTCACCAATGGATAGAGTGGTTCTCGAAGAAGGTATTTGTGTATAATTTGTCAATTTTTTGTATAGATTGGCTAAAATATAACGATATTTGTTGGAGGTGTCGGTAAAAATTAGCCGTGTGGGAGCCTTCAACGAAAACCCTTTGAGATATGACAAAATGATGTATGGTGGAATTGTGTATCTTATATAGGTCTACAGAAAAGTCCATGATGGAATATGTCTATCTCTTAAGAATAACATACTATATCCCTTAAGACTTTAAAAAATGGGCAATTATAAAGCGGTAATTGGAAAGCTATTAACACAAATACAGTATAATTTTAAATAACTTAGATTAATCTTTTACACCATTTAATTGAAACGAATATCTTAGGAGTAATGGTAAAAAATTACGGACGCGAAAATAAAATTCAGGCACCTTTTTTTTGTCTGTGGGAAAAATTTGAATCGGGGGCGAGGCAGGGGTATATAGGAGTCCCGGAGACGGGTACCCAAAAAAAAACCCACAATGACCTCGGCGCGGCAATAGCGGATATCTAGGGTGGCGGTTGCCTCCCTTTCTCTCTCCGCGGCCTCCTACAGAGTGATAACGTCCTCGCAGTATGCGAGGACAGCACCCCATGCCCTCTCACTGTCAACCATTAAACGAACCACGGCCGGCAGCGAGAGGTCGTTCCCGCACGATAAGGCACAGCTCTCGGCGCTACTCTATCCAGGCTGGATGCTCCTCCAGCGCGTGTTGGGCCGTCTCCTCGACATATACGTCACAGTGGTGGCATTCTGCTGTGGGCTCCGTCCCTGCCACGCGAAACGGATACCTCCCGAAACACCCGTTTCCCGAGAGCACCCGAGTGGCAGAATAGGTTGCTATGTCGCCTGTCCAGCCACCTCCATAGGACAGGACGTACGACCTCCACGGTTCTTAGGCCAGCACTGGCGTGCTCCGATAGCATTTGTGCGCTGCCGATTCCTCTGCTCCCCCAACTCCTCTGGGATTTGGCCTCCTCACGCCAGAAGTGCAATAACGCGAGGATCTTTGCTTCTAAATACCAAGGCAGGAAGCCGGCCAACAGGCAAGCTGCCTCACCGGAGATCGTTCGGCAGACACGGATGGCCAGCATCCGCTGCGGTTTGCGCAATAGCGGGAGTTCAATGTGTTGGCCCACACGGGAGCTCCGTACAGGGCCATAGACCGCACGACTCCAGCGTATAGGCAACGGCAAGAGTCCTTGGGGCCGCCAACGTTCGGGACCACCTTACCGTGAGCGGCCGCTGCTATCGCCACTTTGAGAGCCAGAAGTTCGAAGTGGGCCCCGAAATCCCATCGGTGACCTAGGACTAGGGCGAGGTACCTCATCGTAGGTATTACATCGACACGAACGCCACACACAATGTGAGCGTCCGTAGGTGGCGCGTTCTGAGGTCAATAAAATCATAGGGCCTCGGTTTTATTCAGTAATAAGTCTCCTGTTTATCTCTGTAATTTAAGACATTAATATTCCTTTTGGTCGTGATAATCGAAATCGACGCGGGCAAAGCCGCGAGCATCAGCTAGTGTTGAATAAAATCGTAAGTAACTTCGATCTATGCATCAACAATGTTATTTTGCGGACAACAAAAACTTCCACTCCGAGAGAAAATTGACGAGGGTTCTGTTTTCACAGACTTGCTACATTTTCCAATTGGCTCATGAGATTTTGAAAAATGATTGAAAATTGGGAGCAATTATTTTAGTATAAATTCTCTTCTTATTCCAGCAACAACGCGTAGCATTGAACTTACACGTTACGACGTGTGGAACGTGGTACACGCGAGGCCTAGCGGCCTGTACCCGCCCAGTGTTCTCACAGGAAAGGTTTAAAGGAGGACACTAAATGTATTCCCAATGTTGGAAGTAGTCCCAGTTTGTATGCTGGAAAGGATATAACAATAGATGGCGCCAAGCATTGCTTCAAATGCTAAGAAAACAATGTGGAAGAATGCGTTAAGATTTTCGTCGGTGTGGTAATCAGCCGTTTAGCTCAGTGGCTAGAGCGTCAGGCCGCGAATGCCGAAGACGTGGGTTCGATTCCCACAGCGGCGACAATCTTTTCGCACTTTTTCTACATATTTTAATGTATTCCCAATGTGAAAAAGGGCAAGTGTCTTTGGGCAGGAACCTGTAGTCTCTTAATCTTCTCTACATATTCGTAGTATTTATTTTGAAGAATAACGATTCTAAGACCACTTTTAGTCTTTCATTTAAACAAATTGCCAATAGATAGCATTATCATAAATAAAAAATTTTAAACGAAAGTTTTTTTTTTTTATAAAGACCTTAATTTTATTCTACTTGTCTAAAGTTCGTCAATAGCGGCAAAAATAACCTATAGTGGTGTTTGAACCATTAAAGATAAAGAGTTATGGAAGTAATGGCGTAACAACAAAATAAACACCTTTGAGAAGTAATATATAGAAATATAAGTAGCAGATTTGAATACACATGTATTATTGCCTTTTATATTTCATTTTATGTTGGCAACTTTATCAAGATTTCTTTTCTATTCACTAAGTAAACATAATTTTTTGTGTCAATTAAATAAGGCTTACGTTTAGAAATTAATTCAAACGAAAACATAACTCTCATATATGACATATATTTGAACTTTTTTTCCGGATTTGGTCCACACCAAAACTTGTTAGCCAGGAAGTAGATGGTCGTTAGGTTAAGGTCCGCGCCGCTCACTTACACTTTCTACAGAAAAATGCGGTTGCTAAATTATAGAGCGACCTGCACTCGCACGAGTTGTTAAATAAAAAAATGTTCAAATGCTAATATTACCAATGTTGATTTAGGTGTATGAGAGCATGTATTTTACGCGAATTATTGCAAAGGCAGATTTGTATTAAAACAATAGGTCCCTAGGAAACTTATGAATTGAGTAAAATATCTGTAATTATTAGATAGCGATGATTGTTACATGGTTCTAAATATTCATATTAATATCATTACATAATTTGTAGAAGTGTTTCTGTGGAGCAATATAAGAAATGCCAATTTATCCACCACAGATTAACCTGTCCGACTAAAACCACACGATGTGAATGTCCTTCGAAAAAATCTATAGTAATAAAAGAAAATTTTCCTAATTCGAAATGGAAGGTAATAGTGCAATATTGAAGCGAAAAAGAATTTTCACGTAAAAATATCGCGGAGTCGATGCCAGGCATATTTCAATAGCCTTGAACATCAACAAGTGAAATACGCGTAGGTAACGTTTACATTCTATATCATCATTATAAATAGAATGATTGAAAACGCCTTCAACGGGCGTACACGATTTTGTCAATATATCATTAAACTTCTCCTAAGTAACGCGTGTGTTTTGTGTGTTCGTGGAACTTTGTGAAAATGTTAGTTACACCTGGGTTAATTAAATTGCATATTAACGTATATATACAAATTAATAAAATGACATTACCAAGCTCTCAGCATCTTGGCTCATCGTTTTCTACGCATGGTTTCGATCGAAGACTTGCGCCCGAACGGCGCTACGGCCCCAGACCAGGTAACCATGCGCACTGCACCATTGCACCTCACCACAACAACACACCACATTCCATCACTGCATCCGCGTTCAACATATGATCGCTCCGGCCGGTCACTGACGTCACTCGCTTTCTCGCAACACAAGGTTGTATTGCATTTGTTCAGCTAACGTTTCGCGCTATATCGATAACTGGGTCACTTAAGAACAAACTTAGATCATACACGGTTTATCAAACAATTGGTTTCACCAAACAGTGACGGGATAATTTAGTTTCAAAAGGAATTGCGATCACAGTGACGCAAATAAGTAATGACTTTCGCGCACGAACTGAGTGAAGCACGTCCGCGTCGTGGCAGCTCCGGCCATCGCGAGCGCACACGTAACGGAATTGAGGCCCCCGCCACCGCACCGAAACCCCGGCGCACGAACCCGCACTGCCTGCTCGCTTATGTTCGAAGCCAAACTCAAACAAAAACACATAAGTCACGAAAGAATTTGTGATTACACATAATGTATACTGTTGTTTTACTTCGTCGTTGAATGTGTTTATCAACATTCAAACATTATTGTTGGCACGTTTTATAAACGCACAAAGGAAAGAATTTCACAGGACAATTAGTTGATAATACTACCTACGCATTTTAAACGAAGGATATCTTTAGTAATAAGAAATAATTAGGTCTGAAGTGTATTATACATACGAAAATTTATTATTAATTTGACCACTGTTTTATTGACTGCCACATTACTTGACAATTTTATTTGACTAATTTAAAGCCAGCGACTGATTAGAAAATAAATCTAGTATCTCGAAGTATTATCCGAATTTCTAACCAAAAATTAAATAACCACAAAGTTTATTGTCATAAAGTTATCCTGACAATGTTAAAAAAAATTAAAACACAATCATAACTTGACAATCACTGCGATTGTGAATGCCCACCCAAGTTATTGGTTTGGTAAGAAAGTAATATACTTACATGTACGGAAGAATTCAGAAATTGATATTATATCACCTTAATATCTCACTCACTATAAATTTTCTATTCGATTTTGAGGGTTATTCTATTTTGAGGGTTACCGAGATGTATCTTTGAAGTCCGAGGTCCAATATCATTGAAATCATTTTTGGACCACGTGGGAGATAAACCGAACCCAATACAAAAAAAATTAAAATCGATTCATATTTATTTTAAGTCGGTTTTGTGAAAAAAATTTTTGAAGCCGTTTGACGTAACATCAATATGCGATTGTATGACTAAAAAAATGTGCATGACTAAAAAGGTACGTTTGACACGGTCAGTTTTCTTAGACAAGTAATTTTGGTAGTGTAGGTTAGTGCCAACTGACTATTTACGTAGTAATATATTTGACTTCGTCATGAAATAAAAACCAAAGCCATGATGTTTTACCAGATTCTATAAATGTCAAGGAATAAAATGAAACTCGATTCATCTCGTTTTATTCATTTACTGCCCGACAGTTGGTGGCAGTTTGAAATCCAACTTTTTTGATATACTTAACTGTCTCATAGCATCGTATGATGTACCTAATTTTTTTAACGAGTTTGCTTAAAAACTAAGAAATTACATATTTTTTTGATCGTCATCGAAACAGCAAAACTTACAGTAAGTACTTACTTTTTCGATCCTGCACATACCTGTATCTAACACTGGACTGCTACTAAGTTAAATTTAAATTTCAGTAGTTATATCATGACAATACATTTTGTGTGAAATTAAAATAAAATAAAAAACCGCACAAGCTGGTATTCGCACCCGGAGTCATTGAATGACTGAGATTATAAAAGTATCCGGCTAGAGTAAATACTTTTTTTACATCTAGATCTTTCATAGTTACCCTAGCCTCGACAAATTTAATCAATCAAAAATCTTTATTCAAATAGACCCTTGCGCGTTATGAATCGTCAAATTTTACATAAAAAATTATACATTTTGGTTCGTAAGGTACCACCGGTTCGGAAAGCAGTTTCTGTTGACAAGAGACCGGCAAGAAACTCAACAGTTGCTCTTTTTCAAAAATATCAGTTTACAATATAAAATACCGGTATAATAGTCTTATTCTACCCTACGTGATTATCAACAGTATTAACTACACATTGGCGTCGTCGAGATATTCCACAATAGTGTAATATGCTTTAACCATAAGTTGACTTTTGATTTTACGTTTAAATTGATCAAGCGGCAGACTTAATATCAACTGTGGGATTTTATTATACATGCGCACAACTTGCCCCATGAACGACCTATTTACTTTTTGTAGGCGAAACAATGGCGTAGTATAAGAGTTGTAACGTTTTTACCCTGATCCTAATATTTTAACTATTACGGAACTTGAATATTAACAACTATTATTACGACAAGCAGCACTAGTGGTTATATCACCGTCCAGGAACGCGGCCGAAATCCAAGTGACCACCGCTCCATGCGACCAAGTGTCCCTTGGCTCGAGTAGATAACGTCATATCCGGTATACAGTGTTGCCAGCGCCAACATTCGGCCGTCCAGCATCACGCCTTCGTCCTCGAATGGCGTTGTAGTCTGGTATAAGTAACCCTAATAAAGTTAACACCTTACCCTGTGGCTTATCTCCCTCAACTGGGATGCATAACGCCACGTTAAAAACACTTACCCTATGGCTTATCCCTCACAACTGGGATGTATATCGCCACGTTCAGAACACCTTACCCTGTGGCTTATCCCTCATAACTGGGATGCATATCGCCACGTTCAGAACACCTTACCCTGTGGCTTATCCCTCAACTGGGATGCATATCGCCACGTTCATGCCTTAAATTTTCCAACTACTAAAATGCTCAATAGCTTAACTGGGTAAAAAGTATAGTTATGTATCGCTATTTAACGTTTTCACATATATGTTAAGTAATTAATTAACTGGAAGGTACTCACCAAAACTTTCGTTACATTTAACTAAAAGATTTTATCACCATTACGTATAGTAAGTATAAAGCACACTGTTTTATTTTAAGAAGGTAGGTATACAAGGAGAAAATATGTCGCCGATTGTTTGAACAGCCAAATGCGAGTTTTCGTATTGAATCCTACTTCTGATATAAGAGTTCTAACGTTTTTACCCTGATCCTAATATTTTAACTATTACGGAACTTGAATATTAACAACTATTATTACGACAAGCAGCACTAGTGGTTATATCACCGTCCAGGAACGCGGCCGAAATCCAAGTGACCACCGCTCCATGCGACCATGCGTCCCTTGGCTCGAGTAGATAACGTCATATCCGGTATACAGTGTTGCCAGCGCCAACAGTAGTAAGTTTGTCCTTATTTCTATTGTTTAATTTATGTCTGTCACTATTCTTTAGGTAAAAATTAAGGTTATGACGAATATACAAAACATTACAATAAATGTATTGAGAAGCAACAGTGAGTATATTAGTCTCTTTAAAAATATCTCTGAGCGAACTCCGGGCTATATTATAGATTGCTCGGACAGCTCTTTTTAGTAGAATAAATATAGACTTCATGTCGGATGCACTACCCCACAACAAAATGCCGTAAGACAAGATGCTGTAAAAATAGCTGAAGTAAACAAGTTAGGCAGTGTCAATGTCTGTTAGCTGCCTAACCCTTCTAATCGCAAAAACCGCGGAGCTTAGCCTATTTGCAAGAGATGATACATGGGGACTCCACTGGAGCTTTGAATCTACTGTAATTCCCAGAAAAACATCAGTCTCAACTGGATTAATGGGTACTTTATTTAATATTAAACTAAAACTTTGCCGTCTTATACTGGGAAGGGTAAAAAGAACAAATCTAGTTTTTTATTAATAGTAAACCAGTGGAGGATATGCGAAAGTGCACTATTCACCTCGTCATAATTTAATACATTTCGATTATCGATGAAACAAAAATTAACGATGTATCGTCAGCAAACAGTACAACATCACACAACTCACTGGCATATTCGTAGAACGTGCTACAAAAGTGTTGTCTACTATGAAATATTGATATCTAGGCAAAGGCAGTATTTCATAGTATTTGTTTAAATTCACCGCCGGCTATTAAACGTGTTTTATAATGAAAGCCGTGATAGCTGTGTCTGGGCGCTCGCCTTTAATCCAACATACTTGAGCAACCTGAGTTCGATCCCCGCTGCCGGCACCAATGATTTTTTTAATTTCAGGTGCGTGAGGAAACCTGAATATTTTCGAAATACTAACAAAAAAATATTTCGAAGATATATGAAACGGTGGTAGAGCCACGCCGCAGCCTCGGCTTGTTGCACGAATGGGCAGGCTCGTCCGGATAAGTACCACGACCTCACAGAAGACCGGCGTAAAGTGGAAGTATGATAAATACTTTCGCGTTACGTCTGGTGAGTGAGGTAGCCGGAGCCCAATTTCCAAAAAGGTTGTCAACTTATCTGCATACCCTCGGGTGTAGCGTCTATGGGATCACTTAACATCCGGTAAACCGTCTGCTCGTTAGGTAACTTTTCACATATCCGCCGTGGGACCGCGTGATGGACTAAGCCCTGATACTCACTGTACACAGGAGGCCCTTACCCAGCAATGGGGCACGTACAAGCTGTTACTTTACTTTATTTTTTTATAATGAAAATAAAATTATTAAGATTTAGATTAGACTAGATTAAACGTATTTTATTGACTTATTTGTAAAGTTTATCCACAATGTCGTAACCGCCTGCGCACAATTGTATAACGAAGGTTGCAATAATTGCATTTTAATAAGAACATCATGGCAAAAATTTTATGTTGCTTCCTAATAATCTTAGAATCGAACTAAAGAGTGCATAACCAGACAGAATTAAAAAAAAACATTACATTTTTCGTTTTAGGCAAACATAGGACGCGAAGTAAAGTTAGACTGTTTGAAATCAGGGGCGGATTCCTCTATAGGCCGAGTAGGCCAGGAAAAAATTGTTATTATTTCTAAATTAAATTGAATTGAAATTGAATTAGATTTGAATTCGACCTGTCTTCTGATACATTTTTTTATACCTATTAAGTATTTCTAAAATATTCAGGTTTCCTCACGACGTTTTTCTCCACCACTATCACGGCACTGGAAGATAATTGTAACGTTCTCATCGGCTCTCAATTATTTTATATTCATTCCACGCAAACGTCGGCAAGACGCGCTATTGGTATCTAAATTCCTAAAAGCAGAAAAAAAATTGGAGCTCAAAGGGAGTTCATAGCTCGTGCCTACTTATTGTGTGAGACCGCTAATAAAGTTTTCTAACAAAAAAGCACCAACTTCAAAATTAGCACTAAAAAGTTTTAAAATAATGCTAAATCTAATATAATCAAATCTTACCTATACCTGTAACGTAATACGTAACCTGTGTAACCTCCAACAAAATTTAACATTTTTAAAGTCGGTGCCAAGCCAAGTATGTCATAACTGAGCATAAAATCATTATCTTAACTTTGTTACACAATTTAATATATTTTTTTCTAATTTTATAAATTTTTAGTAGAGGCGAAAAGATCTCGAGGTAGAGCACCACTCCGCTGTTCCAACCAGATCAAGGCCATACCTCTTCTATTACCAACGCGCTGCAACAGGCCTGGCGGAAACTAGTAGACACCACCACCCTTGCCTACCAACTGCAACAGGAGCCGCCTGGAGTTAGACACGACCTTCAGAAATGAAGTGTGCAACGAAGAAGAAGAGCGAAACTATCCTTTAAACTATTTATTAGTGAACCGCAGTATTCATTGTTGCTTAGCTGCTTACTTTTTTTAGTAAGGTGTTATGGTATACAACCATTACCCATGGTGAATAATGGCGCTGACTCTTTTTTTTAAGTTATATAGGTTACATTTTCAAGATTTGATTATATTAGATTTAGTATTATTTTAAACTTTTTAGTGCTTATTTTAAAATAGGAGTTACTTTCATTCGCACTCGTCAGGCTATAAGCTTATTTACAAAGCGTTTTATTGTTATGTTTGTTTACAAAGTCTATTACCAATCGCACGGAGAAAGGAGGAGGAGGTGTAGCTATCTATTTGCATGCATCTATTACGTATAGAGTTGTGCTGACATCTCCATCACGTTATTCTGCCTCCACAGAGTTCTTATTTGTCGAAATAGAAATAAAAGGGACAAGGATGATTCTTGGAGTTGTGTATTGTCCACCTGCTTCTGACTACTTCGCCTCTTTAGAAACGGCTCTCGAGAGTATCTGTTCCGAGTACTCACACTGCATGATAATGGGTGATTTAAATACTGATCTTTTAAAAAGCTCCCCTCGTTCTCATAAACTTCACACAATCATTGAGTCGGTTAATCTTTCTGTACTCCCTCTTAGGGCTACTCACCGTAACATTGGTACTGATGACTCCTTGATTGACCTTATTATAACTGTTTATCCTGATCATGTGGAGATATAAAGTCAATTTCTCGCGTCGGAGTTCTCGCGTCATGACCTTATATTTTCTTGTTATAAGCACCTCCCAAATACAGCCAAATACATATTCTACATTTACGCAGTTTTTCCAGGATAAACATTGTGGTATTCATGCGTGATGCTTCAAATTTTAATTTTACAGCACTGTTAGCAACGTCTACAGTTGATGAAAAAGTCTCTATTCTCAACAACATGGTTCTTAAACTGTATGATACTTATTCTCCAGCGCACAATGTTAAATTAAAACGCCCTCCCGCTCCTTGGATGACTTAAGAAGTAAGGATGGCAATGGCGAGACGGAATCGGGCCTTTTGCCGGTTCAAAAGGAAACGCACTGAGGATAATTGGTCTATATTTAAGATAGCTAGGAACCGGTGCAACCAAATGGTACGGACAGCTAAACACCGATATTTTCATAATAATATTGTTAATTCATCATCTGCTAATGTTTGGAAATTCCTTAAATCTGTCGATATTGGTAAACCAGCAATGTCGGAATCTGTTTCTTCTCGTAGATGATATGAACCGACATTTTTCTTCTACGTCTGCCATGGACCCCGGAATCCCCTCTCAAGCTATATCATCCATTGCTTCTTTACAACCCTATTTAATACCCCCAATTCAATTTCAGTCCTGTTGATCAAAACGACATTAAGAAGTTTGCGTTAGCTATTAAGTCCAAGGTTATGGGCTGTGATGATATCAGCAGGTTTATGATAGTGTCACTATTAGAGCATCTTCTTCCAGAAATCTGTCCTATGTTCTATGACAGTGAATATTATTAACTTTTCCCTTGATTCCGGTCAATATCCAACTTGCTGGAAGAAATCATATGTCCGACCTCTTCATAAAGTTCCTAATCCTACGCAACCGAATCATTTCCGTCCAATATGAATTCTGCCCTTTCCTTCAAAAATTCTGGAAACCTGTGTTCACAAGCAAATCTCCATATTTTTAAATAAACATAACCTACTGAGTATCTATCAGTCTGGTTTTCGTTCTCACTACCACAGCCTTAATCAAAGTTACCGATGACATTAATTGAAAATAAAAAGGTAACTGTGCTAGTGCTTGTGAACTTTTCAAACGCTTTTAACACAGTCGACCATGATATACTCCTTTCCATGCTCTCCCATATTAATTTTGCAGACTCTGTTGTAGAGTAGTTTTCATCTTATCTTCGTGGGCGTCAGCAGTCAGTCACCTTGGGGCAAAAAAGCTCGGCTTGGGCTGATGTTGAATCTGGCGTGCCACAAGGCGGCATACTATCTCCCATAATCTTCTCTATTTTTATTAACTTTCTCACTGCTTTTTTTGAACGTATTTAGTTCGTATCATTTGTATGCTGACGATCTTCAGCTTTATGTGCAACCCGATATAGACGACCTTCATGTTGCACTAGTAAAATTAAACGAAAACCTAGACAAAGTTTGGTGTTGGTCATGTTCTCATGGAGTTTCGGTCAATCCCTCGAAATGCCAAGCTATACTTGTTGGTAGTTCAAGAATGCTGACAAAAATTGATTACTCGTTTGTACCTCCTATAAAATACAATAATGTAATAATTCTTTTTTCAAGTGTGGTAAAAAATCTAGGTCTACTTATTGACAATACTTTGAATTGGAGTGTATACGTTAACTAAATAAGCCGCAAAGTTACTGCAACCTTACGATCTTTCTATCGTTTAAAACATTTCCTTCCTTTCAAAACTAATCTTTTGCTTGTCCAAACGCTCATTTTACACATTATCGATTATGCAGATACCCGGACATATCCCAACATCTACTAAACGAGCTGGATCGCCTCCTTAATAACTATATCAGGTTCATTTTCGGCTTACACAACATATCCTCCTATCGATTTCAACTTAATTGGCTATCTTGTTGCTTGTAGCTTGGCTTGTGCTTATGCCAATATATTATTATTTATAATATATGCCAATTATAATATTATTTTCATATATATTCTCCTTAATTAAAATTTTATTATTCTTGCATCTTTTGCTGCACCTACCATAAACTTTCACCACATCCTGGGTTGACTGGTAGAGAATGGCTTTGGGCATTAAGTCCGCCCTTTGTTACCTTGTTTTACTGAAGGTTGGCAATAAAGATTAAATAAATAAATAAATAAACTTGTCAACGGCTCAACTTGAATTAATTTGCGAACGTCAAGGAATACTGTTGAAAGATTTTGCCGATGGAGTTGCAGTTCGAATTTATCCCACTGTCAGACAAGTAGACGCTTAAAAGCAGACATGATAGCTGGGAAGTAAGAACGCATGGGTTAATTGTATAAATACTCTGTTTTCGCGTTCTTAGCTATACTGAATACGTCTAGTATAAAAACAGCCTATACATGTCCCACTGCTGGGCAAAGGCCACCTCTGTACAGAGGGTATCAGCGCATATTCCACCACGCAACCCCACTGAGGGTTAGATTTGAATTGAATACATCTGCTTAACCTTTTCAAGTGTACAGACGCGATATCATCTTGTGTGATTGCGCAAAATAATGCATATTAGTGCGATAACAGCAATCGCGGTTGATTTGCTGTCATTTTTTTAAGAGTTCCGTTGTCTTTCTCCGAAAGACATCAACAAGTCTATGGACATGAAATTTAAATGGGACTATTTCGGAATAAAACCCATTCCAACAAAAAAAGTGTGTGTACTTATGTACACGCGTTAGAAGTTATACTTCTTTGGCCTAACAAGATAAAAATCTTTTCAAAAATTTTATCTTTCGCCTTATTCTACGTTTGTAAAATAACAACACTAACAAATGAAAGTTTTATTATAACGCATTAGCTAGTTAAATAAAGTTTATGTAAATCTCATTTCAAAATAATATTGTGAATACAGTTGTCAGTTCTCACGCAAACATACGTAGATGTCTAGCTAACCTCAAAGTGGCATAATAATAACAATCTTATTTTCTTTGTTCTAGGTAATTGCTATAATTATGTAAATTTGTTTAGATATTCTATATATAAAAATATACATATTTAACATTCATAAAATCATTCTCTTCATCATTTCATTATAAAAGTTAGGCAAAAATAAACAACCAGAAGTGTTCATTGGCGTATTCATTGAAAACGGCCAAAAAAGAAAAGAAGAAGAAGAACCTCAAAGTGTCGGTTTTTCGTGACGGTGTGCGCGCGCATCGTAAAAATTTACTCTCATCATTTTTCCCTAACGCGCCAAAAGAAGTACCTATAACTTCAAAAGGATTTTGCAAATCTATCTGTGTATGATGGAGTTATGCCCGAACATACATAAAAAAATAAACAATTGTTTTTCTTTTTTTTTATATATATATATATTGTTCTCAATGATTTTCGGTAATGATAACTTAGACGACAGTTTTTTTTCTGTTTGCGACCCAGATGGATTGAGCAGTAATGACAGTTTTCATAGCATCCCTTCTCTGAGTGAGACTCTTGATTCTCATTTCTCAGGTACACACACATTTTAATTTCTGAATCTTGATTAAAGCCTTGCTTGCCATCTATATCTTACTCCCTTCCTGGATTTCGTTTCATTCGCAACGATCGTATTGGGCGCACTGGTGGTGGTGTGGCGATTTATTTGAAATAGCACATTCCTTTCACCGTTTTAAATTCCTCTCAACCACTGTCTAGTGCCGGCCCTGAACATCTTTTCATTGAAGTAATACTTGGTCACATAAAGATCCTTCTTGGTGTCTATTACTGTCCAAATATGACCATTGACTATTTTTCATCATTTGAAATTTTATTAGAACAGTATTCTTCACTTTATAGGCACACCATTATAATGGGAGATTTCAATACTTGTCTCCTTAAAAATGACAGTAGGTCATCCCGCTTGAAATCTCTCGTGAATGGCACTAACATGCATATACTTCCTCTTTCAGCTACTCACGCATTTCCAAATTGCGCGCGTACTCTTCTGGATCTTATACTTGTTTCTTCCATTGACTATGTTGCAAAGTATGGACAATGCGATGCTTCCGCTTTCTCGTATTATGATTTACTTTACCTTTCCTATAAAATAAAGCCTCCTAAAGCTAAGCGAAGGATCTTTCTCCAGCGCAATTTTGGTAGAATGGACCTGGATCAGTTGCGCGAAGATACTGCTAAAATCGACTGGTCAGTAGTTTCGAGTGCAGAGTTTTAGTTG